TATTACTCATTACAAGCTCATTACTGATTTTTGTCATAAATAATACCTTTTAATCGTACTAGTATTGTGTATTATCTATAATTTGCCACAACCTACAACTCTACTGCTTACTATATTTTGATTCTGCTATAAACTGGTAACGTAAAATTTAGATATGACAACGCGCTTTACTCTCAATCATTATTGGTTTTACTATAGTTCATTATTTCATCATTTCTTCAGATTCATACTGAGCTAGTAATGGCTAGTAATTCCATTGTTATTTATTGCTATCTGGAGGTTAGTATGAAGCAATGTATCAACCATAATTGAGTAAAATTATTGAACAATATGGCAGTATCTGCTTTGATGTTTATCCAAGTTCATTGATGAGGTGGCAGTAATAAAAAAAGTAATTTTTTCAGATTCAAATTCATCTGTATCTCAAAAAAAAATGAGCAATAATGAAATTGAAAAATGATGAAACACGAAATGTATATTCTTCACTCAATAAGGTCAAATGGTCATCATAGGGAGATGAATTTCAAACTTTAATTTTTTTGCACATTCTATGAATTGATAGAAAATAAAAGTTATAAATGGATAACAACTTCACTCTAGTGATGAACATCGTGTTCTGCAACTAAATTACTGAATTAAAACTAGAGATTTGTCAGACTAAATAAAATGATCTAAATAAGTGTATTTTTTCCTGAAAGAGCAATATATTGCGATAAAAAAATGTGTTTGAATGGGTCTTTATTGATAATTGCCAGTTATCATCATACGAAAAACAACCTTCAAAAGTTGAAACTTATATGATTCTTAGCACCTATGATGATGTTTATTTTCATGAGTAGATTTAACTTATTCGTGACATGAAGTCATAATGTTATGAATGAACTGCGTTGTTCATGTTGTAATGTTATCCAGATTGGTGCTAAAGAGGAAATAAGGCAGGTGTCTTATTCCGGAACATCGATGTCCACCATTGAGGATAACAGTATTCCATGTAAGTGAAATTTACTTCATATACTATATTGTGTAGTAACCCTGTGAATGATATCTGATTCACTTTCATAACAAATGTTCGGGGCACAAAATGAATAGGAAAAAATGTTTTTTGTACAATTAAATGTTCATATAAAAGTAATTGTTTTATAAGTACTTTTTTCCGTGTAATTCAATGTAATTACTTTTTCACATGATCTACACATTTTTGTGAAAAGTTCATTTTGAAACCATTTTATTCCTTACTTTGGAGGTTTCCCACATTGTTGTATACATAAAGATGGAGAAGTAGAAATCCGAAACCTTTCTTTCTCAAAAAATTCATACATAAGAACAGTTAAACAACAGTGGTCCCAAATGTGAACCTTGTAGAACACCCGATGTAACTGCGATGGTATGAGAATAGTAATGATTAACAATTTGTGTTCTTTCCGTAAGATAGCTCTTGGGCCACTGCAATATTTTCCCATCAACACCATATAAACAAAGTTTATGGATCAATAGCTCATGATTAACTTTGTCGAAAGCTTTGGAGAAATCAGTGTACACAGAGTCAACTTGCAAACCCTTAGACAGAGCACCAGACAGAAAATCAACGTAGGTAATCAGACCCAGTTCAGCTGACTTTTTGGATGTAAATCCGAATTGTTGGGTCCCTATAATTGGGGAGCAGTCATAAGTAAGGTAATCAAAAATGATGCTCTCAAAAACTTTAGGGATAGCGTTAAGAATAGATATTGGACGATAATTACATTAACAATGGATGTGTTGCAGAACATTTGGACATCCTGATCTATATCTATATAGTAAAACAAAATTTATGAATCATGTGTTGGTACGTTAATGAACATTTGTGCATACATATGTCCCAATACCCTGATGTTTCTCTGCATTATAATTCTCAATGTGTTCGTGTATATTTCAGGCGGCCTGGCTGTAATGGGATCCCTCCAATGTACTCCATTTGAATCACAAACAAACAAAGCAGGAGAAGGTATATGGTCCCTCATGTAGCACCAAACACATTCTCTCAGTACAGCGACGATCTGAAAAAAAAATGATGTCAAATGGTTTATTGTGTATTATTGAAGCAAAAAAATGATAACTATGCTAGGTATATATTTATTTTCACCACAAAACAACACTTGCTTCTAATAATTCTGTCATACAGAAAAATAAATAAGCAGCATGTATTGGTTCTTTCTTTTGGAAAAGATATCTGGTCATTAGTCCTCTGCTCGGTCCTGAACAATAAAAATCTAAGGAAGCCAATATAAAAAACTAAATGTTAATCTCCTTACAATTATCAATTTGTAATGAAGTTACTAATTTCCCCAGTGGTACGTCAGGTAGAAACAGCTTTCTTTATTTTGTGTTTATATTATTGCTCCGTTATTCATCTGACAACGACTGAATGAATACCTTCCTAGGTCAAAGTGCCACTCTATCGCGATAGAAATCCCAGGTCGCCATTGCGATTTTCCACTCTATAGCGACAGGATGAGATTTGAAAATTATACGTTATTTGTTAATACACCGTACCACCGATGGAGGGCACAACTCTCCCAAAATAAAGTTTATATCGGAGAGGCAAAAATCAATGGAGAGGGGGAAAGTAAAGGATTTGCAGGAAGAGATCAGGACAAAAAAAATCTGGTTGTTTGTATCCCGGGGTTAAAGAGCATGTTACAGAAAATGTGATAGTGGAATATTTGAATGTAAAGACTAATAAAAAAATCGTGTTACTGTTACAGAGATTGATACCCATAGAAAAATTAAAGACAACAGGTGCTTTAAAATCGGTATGGACGACAGTGTAAAAGAAATGGCTTATACAAACACATTCTGGTCCAGAGGTGTTGCTGTGTATAGATACGATTTCAAAAAAGAAATGTACAACAAAAAATTTAGAAATAACTATAATAATGCATCAAATTTTCGAGATGTACAGGGTCTAGAAGCGCAAACTAAAAAATGTTAACGTGTAAATTATATAAGTGTGTTTTATACATTGTAATTTTAGTTTATTTTATTTATATTCATTTTGACTTGTGTAAAACTTTATGTTAAACAGCACCAATAAACTATTCTATTCTATCAGTTCCAGCTCCGTTCGAGTCCGAGCTCCAGTAAATAAAGGCAAACCAGTAGACAAAAAAAAAGTAAATGGATAAAAAGTAGTGGTTATCAGTTTGTTTGATATTTCGACAAATAACTGACCGTTTTATATTAAAGGCCTTGTGAAAACACCCTTGATACCAAGTGGTCAATTATATTCTATGTGTTGATTATTTTATTTTGAAGAAGGCTGTGTTCTAAACACCCTTCATATTGATATTGTTGACGTATACCGAATACCGTAAACTGATTATACTTTACATGGGCGGTGTGATGAACACCCCACATTCTGATTAATTATTATACCGGGTGTACCATTATATTGTTGTTATAATTTGTCGAGTGCCGTGTGCCAAACACCCTTCAAGTTGATACCACCGTATATTGCTAGTTATCTGTTTTGAACTGACAATCACAAATCCTCATATAAGAGCTTTGAATGGGCTTAGCACTTGTGCTTGCGCACCGTTTGCCGTAGTCTCCTAACGTCTGTCGATGCTTGGCATGATGAATGCATAACCTTTTTCCGCTTTCTTCCGCTTGTAGAAATAGTAATAGATTGATTTTTCTTGATACCTGTATTGGTGTGTTGAAATAAATTTGATAACATCTGATTTATTTGTTTCATTTTACTTCTAACTAAAAGCAGCAGGTACCCAGGATTCGAACCCAGGACGGCAATTAAAGCCTACCGTACTGGCTACAATTGATTTAGTCAATATCATAGTGACCCCTGGTGTATTACATTTTTTCAATGACGCTACCCGGAGCACGTGGAGCACACCACGCCGAAAGCTGGCGCCCGAGGCAACCGTGACCTGAACTCGGCGTCAAAGTGACCTGTAACGCGTAAAGAGCTTTACAAACTATTTTCCACAGAATTAATCTAACAATGGCAGTTTTTTTGGTCGCCCTGTGACGAGGTGATGTCGGATTCTTACCGACTAAAAAACCACTCATGAGTCAAGCAGGCTACTCTGGAACCGCCCTTGGGCATTACTTCGGAATAGCAGACTATAGTAATGGTTCGGGGCTCTTCCATTTTCTTCAGTTCTTCATTATTATTCATTTAGTTCTTTTCTTTGTCATGTTTTCGTGATAATTCTTCTGTCAACATTTCTGCGCTTCGTCTCTGTTCTTCCCAACGTATGCATTCAAAGATTGTGTGTTCTACCGTGTCTATCATTCCGCAAGACTTGCATGCCTCTGTGTCATTCATTTTAAACCTTAACAGATACGCCTGAAAACACCCATACCTCGTTAGGGCTCTCCCTATTTTCTGTTCATCCATGGTTCTATGTCTCTTATCAGTCTTTTTGTCCAGTTGGCCTTTTCATAATCTATCTCCCAAGATTGTTGCAATTTTTCAATAATTTGTGATTTCACTAACGCTTTTGGTACGTTGTTTTGTACCATTTCTCTCTTCCACCACCAGCAGATCTATTGGGAGGGTTCTTGCAATAATCAGCAGAGCTTTGGTTGATGCTGTTCTATATGCACATACTATTTTTATGGCTGCTTTTCTCTGGACACTTTGTTTTTTCCCATGGCACTTATCCAGATCGTTGTGCCATAGAGCATGAACGACTGGACGCCTGAGAAGAGAATTCTTCTGCTACCTTCTCTAATGACTTCTGATGGGCAAGCTTAAATTGCTTCACTGTCATCCACTCAGCTATACTCTCCCTTTCAAGTGTAGTGCTCTTTGTAGAAATGGGACCTTTACATATCCTTGTGATCAGTGCAGACAAATTATATGCAAAAGCTGTGCTGGATTATCTTCTACAGAAATTAGAACAGTAGTGATTCCGACTAGTGTTATGTCTTTTTATTGCCATCATGCAGAGTCAATATTATTTCTGCTCTATCTCTAAAAATTGAACAACTAGAAGATGAAATACAAAATCATCAACTTTTAATAGTAATTTCATTACTTTAGAACAGATAATACTAAAACTGGAACAGATACTGGAATCCCATAAATGCATAGAAGAGAGGTTTCTAAATGTTCAGAAAATTGTGGTGGCAAAAAAATTAATGAGGAATGATATTGGTGAAATCAAAGATAATAATAAACCTAGAAATCAGGTGTAAACAGATAGTGAAGATTTATAAAAGGAGATTCAAAATAGAGCAAACGAAGCAAAAAACTCAATCAAGAATCTCAGTTCCAAAATCACTTTCAAAAAACCTCATTCAACAAAGCCTGCCCTAAAAAAATAATCCTATCGAATAACAGGATCTCTCTAACTTGTCTAAATGATAAAAATAAATTATGGAATCAGTCATATCCAATTCGCATGAGTGCAGATCTGATTGCCTACTGATAGTGAAAAAATTCCATTGAATCACAAAGTCTTCGTTTTTGACTTTCACAGAGCTTCTTAATAGGTACAATTCAGTGGGTGAGGATCACAACAATTATATATCAAAAACCATTAGTGTTCTATATGGTGTACCCCAAGGCAGTCATTGTGGACTTTTACTATTTAATTTTTTCAATCATGATGGTGTTACCTACAGTATCATGTTTGATGGATAACTGACATTCAAAACTCATATCAACAGTATCACATTCAAATCAGTAAAACTCTTAGGCTATGTATCTAGGATCAGTAAGGACTTCTCTGTTGATACAGTGTGAATTTTTCATTGTTCACTGATGAGATCAAACTTAGAATATGCATCTATTGTGTGATCTCTTTACTGGGTCTATAAAATATTATTAGAGAGTCCCGAATGAATTCTTGAGGACTGCTGCTTACAAAATGGATTCTCAAGTGAGACATCCCTTCAATCTTTCATTTGACAGCTCTGGAAAGTAGGCGAATCCAAAGAGACTTATTGTTTCTATTTAAGTTATAAGCAGGTCACCATTATTGCCCAGAACTTCTCAATATTGTTGATTCTTAAGTGTGGCAATGGAAACTAGGGACTATAATACATACATACAATTTTGACGTGAATACTATGACCGAACGCAGACTTGGTAGTAGTTTCTAATACTCTAATTCCAAAATAGTAGGCACTAAATTCTCAGAAATGAGGACTTTTTTGTCTTAATCTGTCTCTTTGGTGGGGTACGGAAATTATACTCAACAGATTAGGAAAAATTACGATAAAATATATGTAATCAAAATCTTGACAACAATGTTTTCGTTTTAAGGTAATATTTCTTAGAATTCAGTGCCTACTATTATAGAATTCATGTTTTTTGAGTGAGTAAGTGAGGCAATATAGTAATAATAATAAATTTTATTATCCGTAAGACAATCAAAAGGTATATTGCGTACGATTAGTCAGAAAAGAGCTTAAAAACAAAACCAAAAATAACAAGACAATTTACTAGGAGTAACACATTCATTGAAATTTTTATTAAAACTTTAGTGTAATTTTGAAACTGTGGATACTACTATAGTTTTTTCAGTTTGGGGGAATTTTAAGTCAGTGCATTTTTACAATAAGGCATATGAAAGTCTGTTTCAAACCTGGTATTAATAGAATGCACATTTTAATTTTTCATGAAACAGTTACGGTTATCATTTATAAAAACACATAAATCGAATATATACAGGCATGGTAATGTAAGTATTTCAAAATATTCAAAAATGCTTGNTTTTTTTGATGAACAACTTAAATTTTTAGACCACTTGATACTGAATTGAGTTTGAGAAAAAAAATATCACAGTCATGAAAATATTTTTTAAACTATTATTGGATACCAACAAAGTCGATGAATCTTTACACATGTGTCATCAAGTTTTGCATTCGAAATAAATAAAATAAATATTCATTGATTCTTCAGAATCATACATGCTGAGATGAAAACAATAACGAAATGTTCTTCCACTCACCTCATAGCATTTCAAGTAGGGTATTACATCACGAATATTCGATAAAGGTGGAGGCAACAGTTGACCTAACGCCATAATATCGATAACTTTCACGGTTGTATCCATCAATAATTTATAATTCTCCGATATATCGTCTTTGCTCTGCTCCCCCATGCTCTTCCACTGATGAATCAGGGTAGCGGTCAGAGCCCTTATTAATACGGAGCAGTAACAAATGGCTGGGCGATATACAGCTACAAAGCTTAATAACTCCCAGAGCAATGGTGTGTTCGCAAACATTCTTCTGATGAACAGATCTCTCTCCATAGTGACCTAAATTGAAAAAGTTATTTACTTCATGGAATTCTGATGACATCTGATATTATTTCTTAACAGAAATAAAAAAATACCAATCACGACAAAATTCATTATTTATCATTTTTTTTTCAATCTACATTTCATTATTTTCTTCAGACAGTAACTGATGATGAAATTCTGCCGGAAAATTGAGAAAAACTATTGCTCTTTCAAATATTGTTACTCTGATACCTTACCTTTGAAAATTCTTCCTCAGGCCATGGCAATCCGTTATACATTACGTCAGGACTTACAAACTGAACCAGCAATAATGATAAAAGAGTCATACTATCCCAGGACATGTCGCTATATTTATTTTCTTCTGGTAGAGTGCAACATGCTTTCATAGCATTTATAAGTTGGTATGTATTTTCTGCAACGGCGTGACTATGTATTTTATTATTAGTAGTCAATTTTCTTTTGCCTGTCCCTATTATTCCTCCATTGAAAACGGACGAATGCTTTGTTAGAGGGATGGTTTTATTCTGAAAGAATATGAATAACTTAATGGTTGGAAATGTTCATTTGTAAATATTAATGAAATTCAGGTTACATTTAAAATTCTACTTAGGATGCACCTAAAAACATGGAAAATTGAATTGGAACTTTCTATGTTTTTTACCATTTTCATTTGTAACTAACATTACTGCAGTTTTGTCCTATGAGGGCATTTTCAAACGTATACATTAAAGTTTAATGTTAAACTTATACATTAAAGTTCAATGTATAAGTTTAATGTTAAACTTATACATTAAAGTTTAATGTATAAGTTTAATGTTAAACGTATACATTAAAGTTTAATGTATAAG